GGAACCGACTCCACGGCACACAGCCACCACACCACCACACCACCTAAAAGGAGCTCTGGTAGCATAGTGGTTACGAATCGGGCTGCAAACGTCACTGTCAGCAGTTCAAAAACTACTAGCTGTTCCGCGGGAGAAAGAGAAGGCTTTCTGCTCCCATAAAGATTTACAGCCTCAGAAACCCTGTACAGGGTCACTATGAATCGGAACTGACTCCACGGCACATAACAGCAACAACCCCACCTAATCATCATAGATTGTTTCTTTTATGAGAAAACCGCTTCTTAATGCTTTATAATGCTGGTCTCATACAATATTTGTCCTTTTATGATTGACTAATTTCGTTCAACATGTCTTCCAAGTTTATCCATGTTGTGAGGTGTTCATTATTATTCACCAACATTATGTAGTATTTCATTGTGTGTGTACCAAAGTTTGTTTATTCTGGTGATGGGCAATTAGGCTATTTTCACCTTTTTGATGTGTCTCTTATAGAGAGCATACTGAAGGATCCTGTTTTCTTAACCATTCTGCTCTCTCTGTTTCTTGATTGGTGCATTTAATCCATTCACTCACATTCAGTGTAATTCTTGATAGGTATGAACTGATTGCAATCAAGGTAACTTTTCATTGTGTGTGTTTTTGTGGTACTGCTGATTTCTTTGTTCCATATAATTTTCTATGCAGAGTTAATTTTGTTTGTGGGTTTTCTTTTCAGTTTCTTCATTTCTGTTATGTTCATGTTTACTAAATCTTTCTGATTTTCTTTTTATTTTGATATGCAGGTGCATTCATTTTCTTTGAGGTTACTCTATAATTTATTAAATTTTCCCAATTTAAAACAGTCTGTTTTATATTGCAATTTGCTTGACTTCCTTGACATATGGGAGTTCTGTATCTATACTATATTTTCTCTTTTTGTTTTGCAGTAGACTTTATTATAAATGGGTGTCTCTGGTTCCCTATTTTCAGTTTTATAGGATATTTTTACTTTAAATACTTCTTCTATAACTGAATTGAGTTCTAGGTAGTGTTGTCATGTTAATTTCAGATTGTTGTCTGTTGGTGGTGGTTACAAAGAACACCCTTTAGTATTTTTTGTAAAGCTGGTCTAGTTATTATACATTCCTTTAATTTCTGTTTATCTGGAAATGTCCTAATTTCACTGTCATGTTTGAAGGCCAGTTTTGATATATCCACTTCTCAGTTTTTCCTTTCAACTTTTTGTATATGTCATTCCTTTGCCTTCTTGCCTGCTTGGTTTCTGCTGAGAAATCAGAGCTTAGTCTTATTGGTTCTTCTTTCTAGGTAACTTTTCATTTTTCCCAAGCTGCTCTCAGGATTCTCTCCTTGTCTTTGGTTTTAGAACATTTGATTATGATATGTCTTGGTGATTTTCTTTTGGGATCTATCTTATTTGGGGTTCATTCAACTTCTTAGAAGCTTATCTTCTCATGTTTCATGATGTTAGGGAAGTTTTCTTGCAACAACTGTTAGACAGTTTTCTCTGTGCTTTTTATTGTCTCTTCCTATTCTGGAATTTCAATCATCCATAAGTCATTCTTCTTCTTGATGTCTCACATATCTCTTAGGCTTTCTTTGGATTTGTTCCTTCGTTTTTAAGTTGTTCTTCTAGCATACTAGTACTGAGACATTTATCTTCAAGCTCACGAATTCAGGCTTCCATTGCTTTGAATCTTCTCCTTAGCCCTTTCAATGTATTGTCCATTTCTGAAATCTTAATATTAATCTAATTACAGGTTCTGTATTTATTTTGTCAGTTTGTTTTTGTAGTGTTTCCTTGAATTCTTCTAAAGTTTTTTCTATGTTCTCCTTGTTTCCCCTGATCTTTCTGTCAATTTTTTAAGGTATCTAAATATCATTCTTTTAAATTTTTTATCAGATAGTTCTACCACCTTTTCTTCCTCATAAATGTATTTTGATTCTGCATCTTGGTCATTTGTTTGAGCCATTTTCTCTTATCTCTTCATGTGAGCTAATATTGTCTGTTCTCTTTGGGGCATTGTGGTTTCGCTGTATTTGTTTTTAATTGATGATTGCTTGTTGATGTATTCTTAAGCTCTCACCGACTTTCTCTTGTAGGTGTAGTTAGAGAATGCAAAAGTGTACACTGTTTGTGCACTTCAGTTTAGGGTGGGTTTGGCTGGTGTTAGCTGCTGTCTATCAAAGATCAGGTAATAGAGGATCTTGTATTGGCTCTTACCCAGTGGATGGAACTGCAGAGAATACTGTTGTGGCTGGGCTGTATGGGCACAATTGCTGTCTCCTGTCAGGTGGGAAAAAGTAGGAAACCCCTCC